GGAGTGATGGAGACGATGTACTTGGGACCTGCGATTGTTGGAGTGTGAGCAGGGAAATATTTAGTGAAGGGATTCGGGGAAACCGGTTATTTTCATATAGTCAGACTTGAGTCCTGGAAATGGGAAGTACAATGCCTGCACTTTAAAGGAGGGGTTTGGGATGTTGGCAGTTTGGAGGGATATGTTGTGTATCTTTATATGTATATGCTTCTAAACTGTTGTATTCTGAGCGCCTCTGCAAAAGCAGTGATAATGTGTGAGTGTGGTGAAAGTGTTGAATGATGATGAAAGTATTTTCTTTTTGAGGATTTTCTTTCTTTTTTGGGTCACCCTGCCTCGGTGGGAGATGGCCGACTTGTTGGAGAAAAAAAAAAAAAAAAATACAGTACAGATCTTCAACAATCTGTACACAAAAAATGAGCTCTTTATACATGCAGGGAAGGAGGCAGGGAATCAGTGAGGGATGGAGAGGGAAGCAGTGAAAGCACATGGCCACCAGTTTGGCCTTCCTCTTTGACTCAGCCAACCCTCTCTCCTCTCCCACCCTTTCCTTTCCCTCTGCTGAGGCTGGGCCTCCCTCACTGGCTTGGTGGTTATCCATCTACCGTCTTTTCCTCCTCATTGCCTGAAAACCACTCCCATGCTAACACAATGCAAATAATTAAATCTTTAGTTTTTCACCAATTTTTACCAAATAAATGGAAGCTCTTTATACATGCATAAAAGGTACAAACCCAAAGTATGAATGCATTAGGTAAAATATTAACCGAGATCGAAATATTTACAAGTCATCATTAAAATAACGTGCTAATGGACAAAATCCAGAATTACAGATATTTTTCCATTTTGTCTGATGCTTCTCACGTTTGGTCACTTTTTTTGTCTGAAACTGCCGAAATCTGTTAATGAGAGGTTTTACCGTATTCAGTTTTGTTTTAAGAATTATTTTAAAGGAAATTCGTTTAAGAAAAATTTATCTGTAGCCAAGATATAGTCATTTTTCTTATTACATCCAGGGAATATATCATCTATGATGAGATTAGATGCATAATTCTTTATGGGAAGATATTTATGATGAGATTAGATGCATAATTCTCTATTAGTTTATGTATGAATCTTACAGGATCGTGAACAGCCCTACATGAGTGAGAGTAACTTGAGTAGGCCGCAAATAGTGGCACACTTTGCTGAAGATCTGCCAGAGTTTGAGGCCCTCCGACAGTTCTCAGGTGTTGATGGATTCCTCTTAAATACTGATGGCCTCTACCAGGTTAATTCTGGCCATCAGTGGTATTTGCAGGTAATAAATGAAATACAAAAAGAGTTTACCTGTATTTTCAAAGAAAATGCATATGATATATAAATTGGCTTCTAATTATTTATTCTATATGCAACAAGTGTATTACAATTAATTTATTTAAACTTAATTAAAAAATAAAATAGCAAAATTATAAATCTGACAAGTAGAGTTGATACAAAACTTATATACAGTAGGGCCCCGCTTTACGGCATTTCGCCTGATGGCGTTCTGCTAATGCAGAGATTTCAAATTATGACCAAATCTCTCTGTACAGCTCCCCCCCAATTGACTTTCTAATGCATTTACATTCTCTGTAAGCACGATTCTCTATTATGTCTGGAAACTTTCCAAAATTTCAAGTGTTTTAAAGTTATTTCATATTTTATATATACGTAAGTGATAATTATACTTGTGTACCTGTACCTAAATAAACTTACACACTATGCTGGCATGCAGGTACATGTTAAAATCACTAAGAGTGTCTTATTAGTCTCGAAGATGCCATATTAACCCCTTCAGGGTCCAAGGCCAAAATCTGAAGTGGTGCTCCAGTGTCCAAGAAATTTTGAAAAAAAAAAAAAAAAAAAAAAAAAAAAAAAAAAAAAAAAAAATGGTTTTTTCTTACAGAATTAAAGAGCATATTTTTGTGAAGGTAATAAGACAAAAAAAAATTTTCTGATCAGTACTTACCGAGACACAGTGCCAAGAAGTTTGTCCAAAATGATGTGGTGGCGGCAACATCGACGAATTCCACATACGCGCATTACTTTATTTAGCGGTTTTTATAGTTTTTTCTTTTCTTTTCCAATTTTTTTCTTTTCCTACTAACATTTGGGGCCTGAGAGACCAATACTGTATATAATGTATATATATAAACTCAAACCGCACTAAAGTTATTATCATATTATTGTTTACCACTGTTGTTTATTACAATAAACATGCACAAATCTTGTATAATACTAATGTTCTATCATATATTTACATATTTACAATCACTGGACATGGTTTTAGAACTGCTGGAGCTTGTGGAACTCCTTGAAACAAGGTACCATGCACAGAGGTACCTTACATTCCTCACACATAAACCGAGTGTCTTTGCGTCTTTGTTGCCATCGTTTTGTTTGTGCACAGACGATGCATCTCTTCTGAGCAAATTTCTTCTGAGTTGAAGGAAGCTGTATTATGAAATGATCACCTTCCCTCCTCAAACGCTTGAGTATATCCTGAGTAATTCGAGGACCTTGTTGTATAGCAGGTGTTCTTACCTGGTACTTCATTATGAGTTTTCTGACAACAGACAAACAAAATTCACCATACGGTGGTCTGTTGCCAGTCTTTATTTGGTACATATTATATGCATTGAGCATTGAAATGTCCAAGAGATGGAAGAAAAGTTTCATGTACCACTTGTAACTCTTACGTACACAATCAACAAAACCAATCTGCATGTCACATTTGTCAACCAAGCACATGTTTTGTGTATAATCAATCACTGACACTGGTTTTCGAATACGTTCATTAGTCACTCGATCAACTTTGCCACTGCCTTGCATTTCATTACGGTGAATGGTTGTCAACAATGTGACATCTTGTTTGTCATGCCACCGTAATGCCATGATGCCATTGGCAGTAAACACCTGAACGTCATCACCACGAGCACCTGCATTGAGCCTGGGCATATGTTTACGATTAGAACGCACTGTGCCACACACATCTGTCTTGATAACTCGCATGAAATCACCGAGTAATGGGCTTGTGTACCAGTTATCGGTATATAATGTATGCCCCTTACCAAGATAAGGTGCCATCATGTTTCTCACTACATCACCTGAGATACCCAATAACATCTTGGTATCTTTCAATGTTTTACTTCCCGTGTATACAACAATATCCAACACCAGGCCACTGTCACAGTCACAGAGTACAAACAGTTTTATACCAAAGCATTTCCTCTTGCTCGGTATATACTGCTTGAATGACAGTCTACCTTTGAACAAAATCAAAGACTCGTCAATTACAAGATTCTTGAATGGATAAAAGTATATGCTGAACTTTTGTTGTTTGAGATACATGAAAACATTTCTAATCTTGTATAACCTGTCACTTCTGTCAGGCCTGGTTTTGTCAGAGAAGTGCAACATACGTAATAGTAAGATAAACCTGTTCACTGGGATGATTTCACTGAAGACCGGGGTAGAAATTAGCCGATCTGTGGACCAGTATGCTTTTATATTATGCTTATAGACATGAGGCATAAGTATTATTGTTGGAAAAAGCAAATACATTTCTGCAACAGTCGTCTCTTTCCACCTGTGTAGTCTTGACTGTGGCGATATGATTGTATTTGCCATGGTGTACTCAAAATACTTATTACTTTCCCTGACAATAGTTTCCATCAATGGCTGGTCAAAGAATAATTCAAAGAATTCCAGTTCATTGGCCGTGGTTCCAAGGGGACAAGTAGGTAGAATTCCACTTTGAGAGTCATCGAAGTGGTGGGGCTTGGGAACAAAATTGGGATTTTGCTGCCAATCCCAGATACAGTTTGCTGGTGGATACTGGACATCATAGGCTGGTTGTGGTTGTGGTGGGCTGGTGGCTGATGCTCCGCTTTGTCCTTGAACTGACGAGTCAGCAGTGTGGGTCCCAGCCTGGGCTGGTGAGTCACGCATGGCGATGCCACTACCATCACCACTACCACCATCTACTGATGCCTGTGGTCTATCCATGCCAAGTGTAGCCACATCATCCTCACTATCACTATCTAAACCTGGTGTAGGGCCACGGGATGTACTCCGTCCCCTGGGCACAGCATAGGGTACACTACCCGAGCGCATGCGGCGGCGAACATACCGACGCTTCACTGGTGAATATGATTCCTCACTATCACTACTCGAATGATCGTCAAGCGCAATAAAATCACAATCCACGTCACTATCATCATCATTACTGAAGTCAGAGGCCTGGCCACGCGAAAATATTAGTTTTCTCTTGCGTTGAGGCACAACCGACCGTGAGTCACGAGTGCCCACACCAGAGGTAGAAGGTTGAGGATCGTCAGGGTTTTCTGCACTATTATCGATATCCTGGTCATTCCTTTCGGTCACTAACTGATCAAAGCCATAGAATTCATCTTCATTTCCACTTCCATCAGTGTCAGAACTATCAGATAGGAAGAGGAGAGTCCCAATTTTCCAGGGAGTGAGAGCTGACTTGCGACGAGGCATGGTGAACAAGGGTAACTGAGCCAGCGTTCCCACAATGCTATGCGGGCGCCTAGATTTTTTGTTTATGGCGCACACCCACCACGCAGATCCATTCTCTCACATGTAGGCCTATGAGCACTTTCGCGCTAAATTTGACGGCGCTAGAATTTTGGCATAGATCTACGGTTTGGACACTCAACGTGAAGCCGTAGATCTACAGGACGGACCCTGAAAGGGTTAATACAGCCTTTCCTCACTTAGCAACGTACTTGTTTACCGATGACTCGGACTTACGATGGGCTCTCTGACCAGTATGCATACCTAAATAATGTATATTAGAACTGATTCCCTCTATTCTGTTTATTACAATATACAGTACACTATTGTATAAACATTTAAATATATACCAGAAATGTTATACATGGTACAAAGGTGACATTAAAACAATGCCAAAGATGGTTGACACAAACCCACTACCATTATAGCATGCTCCTCACTTAGTAACGAATTCATTTACCAACGAGGTCTTAGGAACGAAACTCCATCGTTAAGTGAGGAGAGGCTGTAATAATAATCACTCTGAGGCGCATTAAATATCGTATATTACATTAATATAGACATTTTCATTAATCCGTCTATGATATTTTTTTCAAAATTACATAATAAACACACTACGTAACATATGTATAAACATGATAAATACACCCCACAGTAGAATAAATTAACATAAATATGAAATTTTTTCCAGTCTTGTCGGAGTGTTGGAAAGAATAGTTCAACACCAAAGAAAATGTGTACACAGTAGTATTACTGGGGGAACTGTAGGAAATTATTCCTTGCATATGCCTTCACTCAGAGCGTCATTCCTTCTAAAACTGGCGTGTTACATGAGAATGGGAGTTTTGCTCTTTATTCTACTTTACCAGTGTGGAGACAGCTTGTACACAATGCAAGGTATAAGATTCACAGAGATGGGAATGAACATGTATGAACCATAACCAGACGTCGTTCGTCTGTTTGTTTACATACTCTGCGACTGTCCTCTCTCATTTACTTGTTCTCTCTCTCTCTCGTTTATTCGTTTTTATCTCATTTACTCACCTCTCACCCTACATTAAGACTACAAATATTTTAAGGTAAGTAATGAGTGTACTGTACATAGTATATGCATTCTATCGCTCTAGGGCACTTTAAATGTCGTAGTAGGTGGGGTGGCCAGGCAGGCTACCATACCTCCCACACCTGACTTTCTACAAATAAATACTGTTCACCTTTCACCCAATACGTATTTAACTCTTTCACTATCAGTCCTGTAATATTAAGGCTTGCAAGCCAGTGTTGGTCCTGTAATAGTACGCCAAAAATTTTAGCAGGTTCCAATCTTGCAAGAAAAAGCTGGTAGGCCTATATGAGAGAATGGGTCTGAGTGGTTAATGTGTGCAGTATAAAAAAAATCCTGCAGCCTGCAGTGCATGAGAAAAAAAAAACTGTGTTTTTCGTTTAAAACAGCAATGTTGTGGTATATTTTCTCATGGTATTTATGGTTGTATTCTCATTTGATAGAATAGATATACTACAGAACAAGAGATGATTTTGAATGGTTTATGGAATAAAAGTACCTTGAAATTGAGCTGAAAGTAGTGGATATGTTCGATTTTTGCCGATGTTCAAGAGTAAACAAATCACATCACATGTCCAATACAAATCAGTTGGTGGGTTTAATGTGCTTTTCACAAATGCGATGATATTATTTATACCATTTTTATAATAATGTAGTAGTCTGCATAACAATAAATCTTCTATTTTTTGTGTGAATAAAAATTCATAATGGAAAGCAAACGAAATATAAGAGGGGCCTGGAGACATGACTAATGAACAGAGAAAATGTTAATTTAGTTCTTGGAATGTTTGCATTGTTAATTCTGGATCCTATTTTGAAATTGGCCTTCCTTGGATTATGTATGAAATTGGCCAAATTACCAATTTCTGATCACTTTATTGGGTAGTTGAAATTGGTAAATGGGCAGTTTCTTGTACTCATTCAATAGAACAAAAGGAGTTCTAGCGAAATAGCTATGAGTGATTGGTTGGAACAGTGGAATTGGCCGAAAATAGGACTCAAATTGGGCAAAATCGCCGATGCTACAAATACGTATGTATTTTAAGGTAAGTAATGAGTGTATTGTATATGCATTTTTATTGCTCTAGGGCACTTTAAATGTCATAGCATATTATGTGTGGGTGGGTTGGCCAGGAGGGCTACCATACCTACCTCATCTGACTTCTTACAATAAATACTACTCACCTCTCACCCTACATTAAGACTACAAATATTTTGAGGTAAGTAATGAGTGTACTGTGTGTATTTTTACTTTTTATTGCTTTTTAATGCCTGGTTCTATTGCTTACTTAATATATGTTAGTGTAAACTTGTTATCTGGCATTTATGTGCATTTAAAAGTGGGAAAAAATGGCGTTCTGCTTTCCGGTGGTAGCCTGGAACCTAACCTGTCGTGTAAGTGAGACCTTACTGTATATGCGATTGTAAAGGTTACTTAACAACTTCAACCTTATTTCATTGAAATGTTTCATAGATAACATAAAAATTGGATGCAAATGTGAATTTTAAGAGTTTCATCATTTTGTATAATTACATTTAAATTATATTTTGTTATATTGTATTACTGTTGTAACATGAATATTTTCAGGTCTTGTATACAATTGGTCCAAACAGCAGTAGAAGTAAAAGAGATGCAACACTGCTTACAACTCTTTCTCACTTTACATCTACAAGAAGCCCTGATTTTAGCAATTTTGAAAACAAGAATTTTAATAAAAATATGTTAACATTAAATCCAATTTCACTAGCATCTACTCAACCACCAGAAGAATCTGTTCAAGGTATCAATGACTTTAGTGGGCTTGCAGAAGACCTTCCAATGCCTGCCTTCTTAACATCTCTTCATACTCGTAATGGAACAAACATGAGGAGCTTTCAACTAAAGTTCACCACTGCCAGCAGTTCAGAAAACTCAGTCTTCCTCAATGTTTTATACGTTATAGTAGCTCTCATGGTTTTACTTGCCATCATTATTGCAGGCCTACTGGTTGTGAAGAGATACTTTAGAAATTCAGAGAAGGACAAAGTAATTGTTGTTCGCAGTTTAAAAAATGAACGAGAAGAGTTCAGGAGAAAAGGTGAAGGAAAAGTATTAGAAAGGCCAAAAACTCTACCACCAAATATGACTCTCAACAGTGAAAGTAATTTGCAAACAGTGAAAGTAAAGACATTAGCAATTACTGTTCGAAATAATTTAGAGGATGAAGGAACCGAGGTGTAAAAATAAATTCACAAAGATTTATTGTTCCATAAGGAGAGTAACTAGGTTAAAGAAAATTATGCTTTTGAACTTCTTTCTTTTTATGCTAAATAAAAGCTGATGTGATTGTAAGCCTTTGATGGTGATATACAAGAGTATGAACTTATAATGCTATCAAAACATTACTTATAAAAGAGAAGTGTGCCATATAGGATCTGTACAAGGATAATTTGCTGGGGTTAGAAGTTGAATGATAATGTAGAAACTCACAAAATGAATACAATTAACAGAAAGATTACAGATTCAGCTCAAATTGCTTGATGGAAACTCACAAAATTATGAGATTGATATTCAGTCTCCTATAAAGACTTCATGTGATCTAATTAACACTGTCCATCAAAAATTTTGTTGTCCCAATGGGGCTTGTGTTGTTCTTTTCACAAAAGTTTGACCTAAATGTTTATATGTAATATATTTAATAACTGTGATAGGACACTATTAAAAAACTGATTTAAAGATGTGATTTTTGGATTTAAAAATAGAAAATGGATTAATGTGTTTATATGATGATTATCAAACATTTCTTGGTTGAAAATGGTGATTAATTACAAAATGCATCATTCTGTGATTTAAAATAATTCTCAACTGTGCTACAAGAACTGGTCCAGCTGATCAGTCTGTTTCATAGAAAAGGATTTTAGTACTGTAGTTTCATGAACACCTACCTGTGTTAACTTATGCCAGTGCCTCACTCAAGAATTTATTCAGTGATCTATTTTTGTGCTCCTCAATAGATATGTTATCTTTGCTTGAACTTGAAGAATAAAGCTGTAACACTTATTCCTTCTCCTGAATTATTTGTTTGTGCTGTCATGAAGAGGTGCCTTACCCTCACATGTAATATGTAGGCATGCAGCAAAGTATATCCTGTTCTTCATTATAATTTATTTAATTATGCCTCTGGTTGTCCACTACTATTCTACTACAATTATAATTGATGTATTTTTTTTTCACTCAACATACAATGTTGAAAACGTCAAGTTACAGTGGTGTTTGGCTGTTCCTTGTTCCTCCATTTTCAGTGCCTTAATCATGATGATACTTTGAACCTCAAAGGGTGCTATTTGTATTATATATTAGACAAAAGACTGATTGATGCCTTCTTTCAATTTTAAAATGTGTGTTTTGTAATAACTTTGCTAATATTTTGCATTTGATATTCTGTCATCATCCTCAGCTCATTTCTTCACTTGAAATCATCTCAGGTGTATGAAGACACTGCCACTTCAAAGAACTAGTTAGTGAATGTTTATTTATTTAATAAAGAGAAAAAACATATGTATTTTTCTTTTACAAAATCTTTTTTTTTTTTTTAAGGCTAAGAAATTGCCAATAAGTATGCTGGTTGGAGCTGGTGTGAAAACTATTATGACAGCCCATATGCAAGTAACTAAGAAGCTTGGCCAAAGGCAGTGATGGCGAGGTAGAACAGCCCTCAAAATCAGTCGCATAATAATAATTTAAAATAATTTGGGATTTTATAATTTCAAGCACCAATTCTTTCAAGAAATTCATGAGCACTTGCACATCAAACTACATACAAATCCAACAAATTCCTAATCGTATGAACCCTGCAACCAAAATCATTCATAGTAACAGGTTCAGCGGGAATGAATGTTGCACCTCACGACTGCATCTTGTGGCCTTCAAAAAGTAAAAGAATAAATCAGAGTGTCCTGGTGATCCTGAAGTTTAAATCCAGCACCACTTAAGGTGGGAGGATTGATCACAGTTTGAATGGAAGGTATTACAAAAGAGGGTCTCCTTTCAAGTGGAACTGAAGGTACCACAGCAGTACGTGCTTCACAGTATATGGCCAGAAGGAACACCCTGGGTAGCAGAGAATCCACCATGCAAAGATGATGCAGATGTGTAAGCAGCCATAAATTTATCACTGCCACATCAACCCTTTTACTGTCCAGACCCCTGAAACTAAACGCCGGGTCACCATCTGGAAAAGACCCGGGTCAGGGCAAGGCCAGTGAACCTACTAGAGTACAGAACTGAAACCAATATTGCTCTCAATGTCCACCTTTCTTTGTTTAAAAAAAAAAAAAAAATATTCTTCTGAAAGGTAGAGATTTTTTGCTGAAGGTAATGACACCAAAAGTATGAAATTTGATGGAAAACTTACAAAATTACGTAGGTGTAAAGTTAGCAGTCTTGGTGCTATTTACTTATCAGCTATTTTGCTCACTTTGAGTCCTATTTTAAGCCAATTCCATTGCTCCATTTAACAAAATTCTGAGCTATGTTGCTAGTTTGCCTTCCATTCTATCAAGCGAGTACAAGAAACTGCCCATTCAACCATTACAACCACACTATAAAATGCACAGAAATCAGTAATTAGTGCTTTGCAAGCTATTAAAAAATCTGAGTCACCTCATCCCCTAGTTCATATACAACTTTGGTTGTGCTGCATTACATTACAAGCAAACACAAAGAAATCATTTTCTGTTGGGTTCCTAGTCATATTATGTTCAGGGCAATGAGCAGGCAGACTGCTGTGCGGTATGCAGTACATGACCTACCAATTTCATATAGAGGTATTCCAGTCTCTTGACTATTTTGTTGTAATCTCTACTCACCTTTGCAACCATTGGCAACAACACTGGTCTGATATAACTCAAAACAAATTACATTCTATTACGCCAAGTTTGGGTTTCTGGCCTTCTTGTCATCGATACCAAGGTTGGGAGACAACTCTCTTGTCTTCACATCAGACACACTCGTCTAACTCATGGGTACCTCATGGAGGTACCCCATGAATTGTCTAGCTCCAGTTTCAATTTCCCATATTCTATTGGACTGTCCTGTCTATCAACAAGCATGAGGAATTTTCCTCTGATGTTATGTTCTTAAATGTTTTGTTAGTGGGATGGATTGTGAAAGACCTGCCTAGTATGGGCCAACAGGCCTGCTGCAGTGTTCCTCCTTTCTTATGTTCTGTTCTTATCACTGCTCTAACACCCTTACTTTATCTTCCCTCCTTGCTGATGGCCCCACCTTTGACACGGACTCCCTCTTCGACTTTTTGACAGCAACTGATTTATTACACAAATTTTGATAATCCTTCCTTTAGCACTCCTCACAGCCCTTCCTAACTTTGCCTTTGTTGTCCTCTCCACTCTTGCTTATCCATTGATCTTGCATCAATTCCTGCCCAGCAGCGCTGTATGACCCTAGTAGTTTTAGCGCTTCTTTTTGATGATAATAATGGCAAATTTTACACAAAATTAAAAAATGCCAATTTAAAGATTGAGTCCAAAATAAAGGAATGTAGACATTCATGCACTAAAACAACATTTCCTCTGTTCACCAACCATATCCCCAAGCTCTTCTATGTTACATTTACCTTTCCATTTTGAACTCATGATCACACAAAAGTAGTATATAAGCTTTAATCTATTTCTCGGTTAATAAAATATAACCAGGAATAATTGGCCATAACCTAGATCATCCCCATATTTGAATCAGACCTAGTAAAAGACCATAAAACAGACCAGGGTGTGAAGGGGGACCTTATCCATCCTCAAGAAAAGCATCAAAAATCAAATATTTCTGCTACTTTGAGCCTGATTTCAAACTACAGTACATACTTCCTTTCCTGAAACCAACCAAAATAAAAAACAGCCAATAAAACTATAAAAACCATTCTAGAAAACACCTCAAAAACTGATACTTTAAGTGAAATACAAAGCCATTTGGTAGCATTTTCTTTATGAAGCACACACTCATCGAACAGATCCATTCTCTCACATTTAAGCCAAAATTTACCACTTACAGCTTAACTGTATGCATATCTCTGTAAGTGACACTAGTGTCAATGACGCAGGTCTATGCGCGAAACAGTGAAAAGGTTAATACAGTTTAGCTATGTCATCACCTTTACCATGCTCCCAGAGGCCTATGTGAGAGGGAATTTATAAAAGTTTAAATTTCACTTCTAATAATTTGTGTACTGTGTATCTGTGTCTAGCTTCATACACAAGAAAGTTAGATTCAGACTTCAGGCCATTTGCAGCAAGTAATGAGAAGAGGAAGTCACAACCAATTAAATCGTCTCATCTCTCAATAATAACCATACCCACACTATGCTAAACTCTAACCAAATTTATAGCAACTCTCCCTAATATTTTATTATCCTTAATTATTAAGCCATTATTACAAACTTAAAAATGTATGTTTGTATCATAAACTGTACTACCTCATATTAATAATAGAGTAAAATACTGAATATTTGTATTCTACCACTCTTCACCTGTCTAAAGTAGTCTATAAGTATTACGTTAAGCCTGCCCAAAATGCCTCAGCATGAGAGTGACTTTCTTTGTTCCAATCAAATTATGAGATGTAAACACACATTCATTGTAACCTTAACAAAGAAATAAAATTTTATTATTATAAATTGTCTGTAGTAATAGTTTTACACACTTGAGGGTAACATATACAGCAAACAGTTCACCTTGCAAGTGAAAGCCAAGTTATTAATTCAGATAGAGTAAAGAAGCTGAAATTAAACCATGTAGTACATAAAATTACTAACGACCAGTGTGCAGAATTTCATGCTTCAAATATTGTAAAGAGCATAAGAATATAAGATCGATATTTACTTTACTACTTGGGGAATCTCGGCCATTTGCTTATTTTTTTTAACATATAAGCGATGTGTTCTAACCCAGGCACAAATATTTATTATTTATGCAAATTATTTTTTCCAAAAAGATAATTAAAACACCTTATATAATAACAAATTGTTGTCCCCAAAAGAATTGCAGCATTTCCATTTGCAGAAAACAACCCTTAGTATACATAGACTGACCGAAACATACTATCCCATAAAATATTGTAAATTATTGCAAATAAAACAAACATACATGTACAAACACAATAAAACAGTTCAAATGGTCCTATTTGGTGACGTAACTAGCCACTGTACTAAGGAAAGTGAACACAATTAGTTTAGTGTCCACAGTAGATAAGACCTGAAACATTTGTTATACAGCAGTAAAAGACTGGAATGTACTACCTGATCATGTGTCATACTGCAACTGAAGAACACTTCATAACAGTTTACGACTGCTACTCGGCCAATTTCAGCCAGTAATAATTACCTGGAGTTTACCTGGAGAGAGTTTCGGGGGTCAACGCCCCCGCGGCCCGGTCTGTGACCAGGCCTCCTGGTGGATCAGCGCCTGATCAACCAGGCTGTTGCTGCTGGCTGCACGCAAACCAACGTACGAGCCACAGCCCGGCTGATCAGGAACTGACTTTAGGTGCTTGTCCAGTGCCAGCTTGAAGACTGCCAGGGGTCTGTTGGTAATCCCCCTTATGTGTGCTGGGAGGCAGTTGAACAGTCTCGGGCCCCTGACACTTATTGTATGGTCTCTTAACGTGCTAGTGACACCCCTGCTTTTCATTGGGGGGATGGTGCATCGTCTGCCAAGTCTTTTGCTTTCGTAGTGAATGATTTTCGTGTGCAAGTTCGGTACTAGTCCCTCTAGGATTTTCCAGGTGTATATAATCATGTATCTCTCCCTCCTGCGTTCCAGGGAATACAGGTTTAGAAACCTCAAGCGCTCCCAGTAATTGAGGTGTTTTATCTCCGTTATGCGCGCCGTGAAAGTTCTCTGTACATTTTCTAGGTCGGCAATTTCACCTGCCTTGAAAGGTGCTGTTAGAGTGCAGCAATATTCCAGCCTAGTTTGAATTGTAAAATATTAAGTTGCAAATATTAAGTGCAAATGGTAAAAATATGCAACCAGACCTAACGAAACCCACTTAACTTAATCTCTTTTCTTCTTCAAGATACATGCAGTCTGCTTAGAGATTTTTTTTCATCCTTCCAATGATTGCAACAATTGTGATATGGAGTGACTAGTT